CACCTCAGAAGGATGGAGGGCTGAGTCAACCCTGAGCCGGTGAGATTTGAACCGCTGACCTGCTGATCTAGCAGTAGCCTGCAGTGCTGCATTTAACCACTGCGCCACCTTGGCTCATAAAACTTTGGGACTCATATGGGGTAAATATGATTTATTGCTGAAATATGAAAATTCATTTTTAAAAACATTTGGCTCTACCAAACCTGGGGCTCATACTGTATTTATATTATAAAATTTAAATCTATTTTTGAGACCCTGGTTAGATAAAGCTAAAACTCTTTAAAAATTAAAAAAAATCATTTTTTAGCAATTTAGTTTGCATGTACAATTATATTTATTTCCAAAGTTTTATTAACATATGCTACACTTTGAAACTAAAATAGCAATTGAGATATGTATACATACCACAGATACACATTCAGTGTTGAATACATACATACATACATACCAGAAGTGGGGTGCAATTTCTTTACTATTGGTTCAGACACAGTCCTGCACGCATGGGTGAATTCTCATGAAATTCTCAACAAGCATTGGAACACTTATGGAATTAAGTGTGTGCCCTTACTTGGCCTCCAATTTTGTCAAATTAAATTATTTCCTTTCCATGGGCTGATTCTCTGCAGTCTGGGCAATTTCATCCTGCTTATGTTGAAATGATTAACATTCCTTTATTTTGAGCTAGAAAGCTTCAAAGTGGTACTGCTTAAGGGCAAGAACAGTTCCTAGGCTTGATAAGATCCTATAAAATGGGGGAGTGGCACATTACATATATGAGATAAAATAAATTGAAGTGGGCTTTCATTAATACCGTAATAATATGTAACAAACCAGTTGTTTACTTAATTAATTGTATGGAATGAGTAGGATACAAGGGAGGAAAATGTGAAACATGTTAATAATGCAAATATGAGGCTGGGATTCAAAGTATATTCAGATGGAACTGAAGTTAACCAATATCCTGTTGAACCAAACTGAGGTAAACAAAATATTTTTGAAGTATATAAGATTTGGCAATGCTAAACAGAAAAATATATTGTAGATAAAGAAAGTTAACATTCAGGTTTTGCTTCATCCTGCAATGTTAATCTTGCTTTTTATGTTTTGAATAATTCTCTGAATATGTATTGTCCATTTTAATAATTATCACTGGATTTTTTTCTTCGTGTATTTATTTTATTTATTTATTAGAATTTATTTAAAAAACTGAGAAGAATAAAAGAATAAAAATACAGTGACAAGGACTACAGGCACATTAGTGCATTTATGCATGCCCCCTCATTCACAGTGTATATGATTCACAGCGAATTTGTCTGTCTTCCATTTTTTAATAATATTCTGTTTAGGTTCAGCATTCATTTAATCATGCATTTTTAACATGTTTAGTCTCTGAATCATATTTCAGAAGCAACTTATATATAAGCTGTCAACATTTCAACTGAATACCCAACCAAAGCAGGCATGGTCAAGATGATCCGATCTCTAAGTACAAAACTTTATTAAGTACATCATTTCGGCACTGATGAGGGCAAAACCAGATCTAGCTAATTCCCGCACAAACCCACATAATAAAAATATAGGATTCTCCCTCACCCTATTAATACAGGTCGCATTATCCAATTGAATGTCATTGTATTGTTATGAGAAAAAGTCTTTGATTTTGGCAAGCACCTGCTGAAGCATCCTCAGCTCTCTCTCCCCTTGTCTTGATGTCTGGAGCCTACATTCCATCTCACCCTTCCCTCCCCCTGGGTTTGTTGCCAAGCTGAGAAGTGATAATGTTCACAACAGCAAAAACATGCTTTGAACTTGACATAAAGCTTTGAAAATATTCTGTCATGCTTTATAAATATTTCAAATTCAATTAACCTCTGAACATAGTGTCGTGATTTTCTAATCCCTTTGAGATTATACTGTTCATTTGAAGCTAGTATCTCACTGAACAAGTCCCTTCTGTCACATAGCTGGATCAATTTACCAAGGCCATCTTTCCGCGTGGATTTTAAAATTCCATATTGAATCTTAACTGGCCACCAACTGGCCACCAAGCCGAGGACATGTTCAAACAGAGGATCCTGGATATTAATACTCAATATCCTTGATATAGAGACATTTGATAATATCAAATCCTTAAATGGCTGTTCCAGAAGAAAAATGACTTTTCATTTCACCCCAAAATATCAAACTATGGATGTGACAAGACCAAAGAGCTCGCCAAAGCAAGATTTAAGTTCCTGGGTCTTATGGTAAAACTTGGGTGATTTCATCAAATAACCTTACTCAGAGATGATATGTATATTTGGCATGCTGAAAATAGAGGAGATTGCTCACATCCTCTGGACTGTTAACTATATATTTTAATTAGAAAGAAGCATTTAGAGTCATTAACTGACTGGACAGCCTATTGGGATCATTAGCAGGCTCTTTTACTTCCTCCAAGTTACATAGGCAATAAGACAGACTGCCAAATGTATAGTGTAAGCCATCCAACTGAGAGTTTTCAATCAAGATCAGAAGGCCGTCATCTGCCAGAAGGATGCTCTTATCTATTATTCTGTTGAATACATTTACAGTATATATGTCAATGCACTATGTTATTTTATCTTATTTGATTTGACATGACCATTTGATTTATTCAATAAACTATAAACTAAACTAAATTTGAAGCTATCAAAGCTTCGTACCATTTCAAGAAGAAAGTCTAGAATAAGGTTGGAGCATCATCTGTAGTTATTGTAAGCTCATTGGTTCCTGAGCAGCAATGTCCTCAGAATCTGTGAAGCTACTTTTTTCCTTGAGCAATCTATCTTCCAATTCATTTGGGCTATTTGCAAGCTTGCGGAAAATCCATCTATCTCAATTGATCGGAAAAATGCTAAATAGTGTACTGTATTGTTTATTGTTATCTATATAATTATTTATCATTATGGTTGGTCACAGTCAGCCAAGAGTTTAGTTTGGATTTGACAGTCCTTTTTCAAGAGGCAGCTGGACTTTCTTGATTTCTTTGAAGACGTTTCTCTTCTCATCCAAGAAGCTTCTTCTGACTGGAAGGATTTATATTCCTTGAAGATAGCTGGCCATTTGCATTCTTTTAGAGAGTTGTTGAGACCACATGGATGTTTATCTGTGACCTCAGGGTCACTTGAGTAGTGCAAATGGGTGTGGAACCTTCTTGGAACTGCTGAAATTTTGGATTTGACATTTTTATCTACCCTTCTCATCTGCCCTCTTATCCCAACTGGGATAGGCAGATGTTATTGTTTGATGGTGTTAAGGTATCATCACAGGATGTAAGCTGTTTCAAATAAAGCTGCCTTTTGCAATTGACTGTTGGTGATTAT